AGGCCGCCCTATTGACTGAAACAGCACAAAGCACAGATTCAACAGAACAAAGCCATTACAAAACATAACAACGGAGCTGAAATCAGCAAAACAACAAAAATGGAGCATGTCCGATGCTGTGATCGTCTAGTCAAGGACGACAGAGTGATCATCTAACCATATAAGTGCTGAAACCTTTCAAATAACGTATAGATCCCGAGTCGAGATTCGGCTGTCTTGAAGAGATAGCAAACTCAGAAAAGAACAATAACCTTTCCCGATCACATGTTTAAGGCCACATGGACCTCTGAATCTTGTTATATTGTACCTCTTAATTTATATTATAACGTGGATAACTGCGTAATAATGGAATCAAAACAGCATTTTATGATTCAACTGATCACTTGGATCGAATTCAGTCGATAATAAATTAACCTATATATTTGGTAATAATTTATTCGTGAAAGGAAGAAGACAGCACACTGGCCAGGCAGGAAGTCAAGTCGAAAGGGCGCTTTTTGAGTCCAGGTGAACTGAGTGAGGAGTCGGGGTCACATGCTTTGGGTGGTTACATCACGCATAAAGCTATTTAAAAAAAAAAAAAAGAAATTCCCTAATTCTGCCACGTCACACTTCTTGTTTAACTTCTTTCGTTGTTACCAAATTAAATTTCCAACTGCAGAGCAATCTTCCAAGTCCAAAGGAAAGCACGCAAGCTTTGGTGGACTTGCCTTAACAACCCTTTTTTCATTATTTATTAATTTAAATCAAATCCACCCTAATCATACGTTCCCATCACCTTATAACAAAAAATGATAAAGAAATGTGAAGAATGAGTAAATTAATAATATTTTAATTATTAATATATCTATTCATATGTTTATATAAACATATTAATTATAATTATAAAAACAAATATATATATATATATATATATAATGAAATTTTCAACATGAATGATAATTGAGTTCAAATCTGATCAATACTTTTTTTTAATCAATATAAGGTGACTTATAAGGGGTAGTGTATATTATAAAGTTTCTTAACCGTTTGATGATGAACACTCAAATATCATATAGTCTCTGGTGCTTGAACTTGAGATGGACCAATCTATTTCGTACACCTGACTTTGGTGGATGAGTTTTTTAGTAGGAATTTTTTTCATACGAAATATTACTTGAGCGTATATAAGGATTTTACATCAATACTTCTAATCAATAAATAATTTATTAAATATTATTTTAAAAAATTTTATGTGATCTGTGGTATATTATTTTCGAAATAAAAGATTTAATTCCATTTTTTTGGGGGAAAATCAGGAAAAGTTTAGAAGCATCCTAAAATAATATAAAGGGAAAGATATAGATTGTCGTACAGAAATAAGGGTAATTCTGATATGTGGATGTGGCGGCCACCAAAGATGTGGTTTTCATTTGCTCACACGAATTTTCCTTTTTCAACTAATTAATTTATTTCCCCTATTTTTTTTAAAGTTTAGGCTAAACTATAATGTTAGTCACAACTTTAAGTTTAGTATTTATTTTAACACCTAATTTTAGAATATTTCAATATATGCACTGAGTTTTGATTTTGGATTCAATTAAAGCATTGAGACGTTAAATTCAAAATGACACGGTGATATAGCAATTTTAGTGGTAATGTGGGAGTTAATAATTTTTATTTTATTTTATCCGATCTTCATTAAAATTAATATTTTTCTACCATTTTCAGTCGCAGTTGGAAATCATAATATTCTTTTTGGTTTTTTTAACCATCATATGCTCAAATGGTCTCATCTCATCATCTTCTATTATTTTGTCGGTTTAAATTTTCTCAAATTGTGAAACTAAACATAAAATTATCATTTTGAGGGTTTGAAAGCTTTCTCGAATTCAAGGAATTTGGGACACGTGCTTGAAAAATTGTATGATATGAAGTATTTTTTTCTTCAAGAAGACGAGCAACACACATCGAAATTAGCTTCATCAAATGACCGTAAAAACATGTCAATGCATTAGAAAGTCAAACCTTTAAATGAATTTTGAGTGTCATTAGAAAAAAAACAATTAATCTGAAGATAAAAAAACTATGCAAAATATAAATGTTTTAATATAAGTTTTGTCACAAATAATAATCAATGATAAGTAATAACTGAACGATATTATCTTTAGTATGAGTATACATTTTTTTTTGTAAAAAATGAAGAAGAAACTATGATCTCATCATGTCATTAACAATTTAACAATCAAATGTTTTAATTGAACTCTAAATTAAAATTCAGGATTTTAAGTTTAGAGTGAAAATCGACATAAAACCTGAAGTTTAATTACTAACGTTGTAGTTTACCCTATAGTTCAAATACACCATCATAATAAAATAAAATAAAAAACAACTACACCAACGAAGCTAATTAGCTAAACAAACAATAACTCATCATTAATATTAACCCAGCAGCTACCCCTTTTCATCTAAAATAATATTCTATTTTCTATCCAAAAAAAATCATTTATTGTTTATTTTTTTTTCAATCTCAAACTCATCTTCCCTTACTTTATAAACTCGCAATTTTATTTGTCGCTGGCTTCCCAAAATAAAAAAACGCAAGCAGTTTTATGAAAAAATACATACAACATTGCTTAGTTTTATTTCGATCTCTGTAATTTCGTCAATTTCGGCCGTGATTGGAGAAAGATAACAAATTCTGTCAAAGTAATTCGGCGTTTGGCATTTGTGATAACAAATTCTGTCAAAGTAATTCGGCGTTTGGCATTTGTGTTTGATTGGCTGTGAAACTGAAAGGGAAAACAATCGAAGTTAGGGATAAAGAAAAGGTCAAATATCCATAGCCAGCTTATCTGAGTTCCCCGTCTCGTCGGTTTTTCTTTTGTTCTGGTTGCAAAGAAGATGTTGTATTTGAAGAAGCCAAACTTTATCCTCGTAACCGGTTTTCGTCCGGACACGAATTTTTACTTGGCGGGAAAAGTGAGCTGAATAAATAATTTTTAAAATAATTTAGGAGTCGTCATCGTCCTTTTGGGTTAGGTAAGTCGAATACCTAAAAATCATCTTTAAAAGAGTTTTTAAGAAAACATCGATTAAAAGATAAATTGATCTGCGTTTTAACCAAAAATCGTTCTTTTTAATAATAATAAGGGATTCGTAGTCGGTTACGTTTAGGGAAGGATTAGCACCCTACAACGCCTAAAATTGATACTTTTTAATTATAAATTGTCTCTTATTATTAGAAATTTAAAAATTCAAAATATATTTAATTTATAATCCTATTATTTCAAAATTATAATTATGAAAAAAAATATTAATTTATATATATTTATAAACAAAATATTTATTTATTTATAAATATCAGAAAATGATATCTAGGTGCCTTAAGACAACTCTTTTTTTTATATTAAAAAATAAATAAATAATTAAAATAATTAATATATAATTTATAAAATAGGATATTTATTTATTTAAAAATATCAGAAAATGGACATCCAGTTGTTTTAAGAATGCCCTTTCTTAATATTAAAAAATAAATATTAAAACAGGATTAAAATAAGTTAAAAGTAATCAAATAAGATTTTAATAAATAAAATAAATATTATTTATTATATAAATATATATATTTATGGTTAAATAATACTAATAATAGTAATAATAATTAAAAGGAAACATATAAAATTAACATATAATTAAACAATGAATAAAATTAAAACTATATATTTAAAATAAATAAAACTTGTAAAAAATAAATAAAAATTGAAATTAGTGACTAAATTATAACCTAATAGAATTAAATACCTAATTCATAATTAATTATTTAAAATTACAGGGATTAAACATGTTATTTTACTCATTTATTAATTTTATTGACTAAATTAAAATTATATCAAATTCGTATATCAAATTAAAAGAAATCAAAACATGTTATTCGGGGTTTAAAATATTAATTAATAAAATTATGAGGGCTAAATCGGTTATTTGCCTAAAATATATATATTATGCTAATGACTAAATTATGATTTAAATAAAATTAATAGAACAAATTAAAAAGATCATAAATTTGATTCTAGTGACTATAATATAAAATTACAAAATTACTGGACTGCGTGCGGGGTTTAACTTTTAATAAATTACAAACAGACCTCTCCCCAAAACGGCATCGTTCGGGGAGGGGTATTTAAGCCCCAAATCAGACGGCCTTAAGGCCAAAGATTCATTTCTCTTCTCTTTCCTTCTCTCTCTTTCTGAGAGAGTTTTAAACTCTCTCGCCTCTCTCTAGCTTCCCTCACCGGAGGGAAGTCGGTCACCGGCCGACCGCCGCCTTCCTCGGCGCGGCCACCGATAACGGTGGTCGAAAATTCTAAAACCTCTCAAAACATAGATCGATGATCTAAAATCGAATCCGACCCCCTTTCCCTCAAAATATCTCCTATTTACATAGATCTACAAAAAATACCTTCGGTATTTTGGTTGCTGTGTTCTCTGGCTTTTTTTCTGTGTTTTTTCTTTGCAGGTTCGGTTGATGGCTTTATAGCCATCACCGGCGCTTGTCTCGGACCGGATAAAAGGGTTGTAGTTTGGTGAGTCACCAAACTATAGTGGTGACTCACCGTAGCCCTCAACGTGGACGGTTCTCTTCAATTCTTCTGGAGGCTTCGTGGCAGCGGTTGAGCGGCGTTGAACGTGGCGGTGGAGATAACAAAAGCGACGGCTGGGACGTGGCCCTAGGGTATCATACCCTAGGGTTTGCATCTGGAGGTCCTTGGATCGTTGGATCAAGGTCTGATCCAACGGCTGAGAGAAGAACGGCGGCTGAAGCTGAGATCAAACCCTAAATGAATTTTAGAGTTTTGTTAGGTTTGGGCCTTCAATATTATTTGTAATTATTTAATAATAATAATATATATAAAATTATAATAATATATTAATAATAATATTAAAAACAAATGGGTAAAAAAAATTAGTATCTTCATTTATTATTTGCAAAGGAAGAGAGGCTTTCGTTCGACAAGAATAAATTAATTTTGGATTAAGGTATTGTTTTTTTTTCCTCAACAAAAAATAAAAGCAAGAAAAGTTCCGTCGTCGGTGCATGCTGTTTTGATAAATTCCCTGAGCCTGGGGCTCGGGGAGATCTGAATCTATAAACTGAAAACGGAGGGAATAAAGACGCTTACCATGGAATCATCCGCTGCAAAAAGTTGCGATTACGAAAATATTAACGATAATGGGAGCTCCTCCCAATCGCAACCGTCTACGTGTATGCAGAAATTCAGACTCTACGAAACTCGATCGGTAGTTTTTCTTTCATTTCTATTTTTTTAACAATTCTGTATCACTGTTTCTTTGTTTTCTTCGATTTCATTAATTTACTCTGTTAACAGCTTAGTTCGGATGTACTTTTACTGGAATGGATTGTTTTGATGTTGAACTATTAAATTAAGTGGAAGAAGAATTTTGTTTTAACTAATTTCATTTTGTTGTTTGTGTGCAGAGCTTTTATATGATTGGAAGGGACAAGAGTAGAACGTATTGGAGAGTGTTAAAGATAAACCGGCTTGATCCTTCTGAGCTGAACATTCGCGAAGATTCTACCATGTATTCGGAGAGTGAATGCTCCGAGTTGTTGAGACGAATACATGAAGGAAATATTTCTACCGGTGGATTGAAATTCGTTACAATTTGTTATGGCATTGTTGGTATGGATGTTGGAATTCCATTATGACTTGAGGGGACTATTAATTTTATTCAAATGATAATCTAATATGTAAATCGTTCCATGTTTTAGGGTTTATTAAATTTCTGGGGCCTTACTATATGCTTATTATTACACGAAGAAGGCAGATTGGCTCAATTCGTGGTCATAATGTGTATGCGGTTTCAAAGAGCGAGATGATTCCTGTTCCAAATTCAACTGTTAACTCGAACATGGCTGACTCTAAGGATGAGAATAGGTCTTCTTCTTTTCTGTTTGCTAATATACCTGGTCCACTTCTAAAAAGTCATGAATGTTGCGCAGAAAGATTTTCTGTTCTGTTCTGTTCTGCACTGAGATATGTAGAAAATTATGGGCATTCTATTATGTCCCTTTTGTTTTTTATTTTTAAATTAAGTGACTTCTGCTACGCATTATGCATTTGGATTTTAATTCGACAATAGTTGTTATACTTTTTTATTTAGGTACAAGAAGCTCCTGTGCACGGTTGATCTGACAAAGGACTTCTTCTTCAGCTACTCATACCATGTTATGCGTAGTCTTCAAAAGAACATGTGTAATAATGAACCAGGTCAGGTTCTTTATGAGACCATGTTTGTGTGGAATGAGTTCCTAACTCGAGGGATCCGCAATCACCTCCAGAATACTTTATGGACAGTTGCATTGGTTTACGGCTTCTTTAAGCAGGTTAAGGATGGTGCTCATTTGAAGTTATTATTAGCTAATATTTTATTAAGTTTCTGTTGTGCTTTTATAAGATGGATGGTTGGCTTTATAGTTTGACGTTGGTCTATATGAATGTAGGCCACACTTTCTATAGCTGGAAGGGATTTCAAACTTACGCTCATTGCAAGGCGATCCCGCCACTATGCTGGTACCAGGTAGGAAAGTTTTCCCACATTAAAGGGAAAAACACTCAGTTCCATTTTTGTAGAGCACTAATGCTATGTGAGATGAAATCCTACTGTTATTTTCTGTGATATGGATCTGGACAGTTATGGATTGGAACTTCTTCTCTTCATGTGCACATGATTTTTTGTATGTAGGTATTTAAAACGAGGGGTGAATGAGAAAGGCAGAGTAGCTAATGATGTTGAGACAGAGCAGATTGTGTTTGAGGATGTCCCTGATGGGCTTCCTGCAGAAATAACTTCAATTGTCCAGAACCGTGGCTCAATTCCACTGTTTTGGTCACAAGAAACCTCCCGTTTGAATCTTAAACCAGATATCATATGTATGTGCTTGTAATTGCTGGGAGTACTTCAGGTGCTGCTGCAGCCATTTTTCATTTGCTCTGAAAAAGGAAAACTAACCCTTTCTCCTTTTACAGTGTCAAAGGAGGACAAAAATTATGAAGCAACCAGACTTCATTTTGAAAATCTTGTCAAAAGATATGGCAACCCTATAATTATTTTGAATCTGATTAAGGTAATTTTCATTATATCACCCTGTATTCCTTTAAGGTTTCTTCGGCTGTATGTCTACATTATCCCGATTTTCTATTTTCGTTTATTATTTCATAAACTGATATATTTCTTAAAGATAATGCATGCGTAGAAAATCTAAAAATTGGTACAAAAGATTTTTTTTGGGGGCAGGGGGATAATACCGTACTTTGACGTAACTCTATGGTATAACTGATTTAATGATAAAGTTCTGAATCCTATTGCTTTTGTCTGATGAGCAGACACAAGAGAAGAAGCCTCGAGAGTCAATTCTTCGTCAAGAGTTTGCAAATGCAATCGATGTTATAAATAAAGATTTGTCAGAAGAGAATCGATTGAGGTTCCTTCACTGGGATCTGCACAAACATTCTCGGTGGTATGCCATAAGCTTGTTGTTTTGCCCCAAACTATTGCGTGTTATCCCTTCTTTCCCCATCTATTTATTCCTCTTTGCTCTTTGGTGTTGATTCATTTTTATTTTTATAGTTTGATTCCTCTTCAACTGTTAAAAACTTCCAATTTTTCTCTTCCAGCAAAGCAACAAATGTTTTGCTACTTTTGGGCAAAGTGGCTGCGTACGCATTAATGCTAACAGGTTTCTTTTATTGTCGGTTGACTTCAACCTTGAGACCTGAGGAGTGCATGGCTTGGTCTTCCTTTGAGTACGTTTTTCACATTTAGTAACTTCTAGTTTTGTATATGAAAATTTTGTAAATATGACATTTTTCCAAACCATAGTATTGAATGTAATCTAGATACCCAACCCAATCTCACTCATCAGTAGGCATTTTGAATTTGCAACGTGTTAGACTTTAGCATTAGGTTGGCACGTGGCTTTATGAATTATGGATATCTATCTATTATTAGTGTAATATGGTGAGACTTTGATGATGCCATGTTATAAGTATTAAAGATCTCTGCTTTGTATCTGGTAAAAGTTGAAAATGGCATTTTTGTCTTCAAACGATGATACAGGAACTTAAATGAGATTGACATATCACCCCGGAGATATCACAACAATGTTACTGATGATGCTTACAAGTTGGAGAGGAAATGTTCTGGATATAGTAATGTTACTAACGGAAATCATTCTCTCAAGCCTCCAACATTCCAAAGAGGTGTGCTTAGGACCAATTGTATTGACTGTCTGGATCGCACAAATGTTGCACAGTATGCATATGGATTGGGTGCTCTTGGACACCAGCTTCATGCTATAGGGATTAAAGATACCCCGAAGATAGATCTTAATGATCCTTTGGCAGATAATTTAATGGGGTTCTATGAGAGAATGGGTGACACACTTGCACACCAGTACGGTGGTTCTGCAGCTCACAATAAGGTATTCCAATTTGTGATTATAATACTGCAGCTCACAATAAGATATATTCTTAAATGTTGAAGCGGATGCCCTTGCCAAAGAAGGAACTGGTTGAAGCCTTTGTGTATTTATTTTGGCTTTCCTGCTGCTTTAGTCCTTAGTGTCGGGGCTGGGTGGTGGGTTTCCCCAGCATTTATTGGTTTTGGTTGGAATCGTCTACTATAGGATACCTTGCACCTGTTGGGTTTCAATTTTTGTTCGAACTATCCTAGTTGTTTATTTTAATAATATTCCTTGGGCACTCTTTCCCCCCTTCCGCTTGTCGACGTTAAATCTTGATTTGTCGTTGACTATGAAGGGAATTTTTAATGAGGCCCCGCCTTATTTTGAAAAAAAAAATTGTTCTTTGAGAAATAAATGACGAGGGTAATATGTGTTACTTAAGACTAGTTCAGGTAACATGCTTCAGCTGCCTGCTAAAATTTAGTTTAATTTCTAAATACAATCATCTCGATTAGTTAATTTTCTGTTCTTTTATACCATGCAGATATTCTCTGAGAGAAGGGGTCAGTGGAGAGCCGCAACCCAGTCACAGGAGTTCTTTAGAACACTTCAACGATACTATAGCAATGCGTATATGGATGCTGAGAAACAAGATGCAATTAATGTGTAAGTTTCAGTATTATGTGTATATTACTTTCGGGGTGAAAATTGATGTCTGTTTCACTTTGACAACGAATGGTATTAAAGCATGTTGCTCTACAACATTGATGCATATAGGTAGTTGGCCTTTTTTTGGGTTAATACATCCTTGATCCTAATTCAATGTAATAAAAGGCTCATATCTTTTATTTGGAGTTCAGTAAATTTGACATTTCTTGTAGCTATCATCAATTCATTTCTTAAATGTGTTATTGTTAGTATCTTGAGCAATTGAATTACTAATTCTTTGTGCAGATTTCTTGGGAATTTCCAGCCCCAGGCTGGTAAACCTGCTCTTTGGGAGTGGGGTTCAGATCAACATTATAGGGGAAAAAGCGGGGAAACCATTGTCGATGAAGATGGAAGGTAGTTTTCCAAGTAACCTTGAGCTTCATGCCTGAACCATAAAGTAGTATCTATAAACATCCTCCATTCTTTATTTTTGAGAACCACATCTTTGTGAATACGCTTTCTTCAATTTCTTATTTTGAATGCTCAACTTTCTTGTTAATTAGGAAATTATGGTTATGGGGCTTTTCTGAGTTATGGTGGAAATCCAGTAGAGGTTTCCCTTAACCCTATGTTTTTCTTGAGTTCCATCTTCTTTCCTACTTGTTTATTCACCCTAATTTCTTTTTATTACTGTTGTTTTTCTTCTAACCCACATCACATCCATATTTCTTCATAAACTATAACTCTTGTTCACAGTTTTACATATGCTTGATCAGATGTAATGAATTTAGTAAGTAGATAATGCATGGAAATGAGATTTTTTGCATTTCATTTTCTTCTTTGTTTTGGACTTTCTATTAGTCAGCTGGTTATTGCAGTGTATCACTACTCTTTCTAATCCTTAATTTTCAGGTCATTTTTCAAAAGATCATTTTCTGATGGAAACATTCTTCGTCAAACCGGGTCACCTACGCCAGCTACAAAAGATGAGCCAGAGAAATTTACCAATTCATCTTTGCCTGACCGATCACAAGGAAGTAGTGGCCTTTCAGAGTCATCACCCGAGATATCAACTTGTGGAAGTGATGTGTCATATTCAAGGTTACTGGCTTTCTATTCCCAATGTTGAGTGCCGTTTACTTTGAAATGTCATTGGTTTCTAATAGCTACAACCTTCTATTCCCATAAACAGCTGGGAGATGAGATGGGATCTACGGTTTCATTGGTATTGGTTGTTGAACCTTTAATCTATGCTTTGTTGAGCTAATCTTTTGTATCAGTGCTTTCGTAACTTATTAAGTCAAGTGTTTCTGCATGAATCAGCTGGTGGAACCTCATGTTTCACGGTTTCCTGTAATTAATGGATCATCCGTAGCATGTTGCATACATGGTTGTCCCTTTAAATTTCTTGTTTGATACATGTATCTTCATATTCTTTGCATAGGTTTACACCCTCTATGTCTCAAAGGCATTTGTTTGGAGATGTGCAAAGAGATCGCTATCTTGAAACTGGTCAAATTTTCTTTTATGGACATGGGGATGGAGTTAATAGATCTAACTTTGTTGACTTAGACTGGCTTTCATCCTCTGGAAATTCATGCGAGGACGAACCATATGAGAGGTACATTTTTCCTATTCTGTATTTCATGAATGCTCCAAAGCTCAACCTTCAAGGCTACAGTGGCATTTGTTGTTCAGATTAACATAGGCATAAACTTTTGCTATTTGTTATTTTCTGTTTGTACGCTTGTTTTTTGTGCTTATTACCTGTACCACTGGTTAAAGAAGAAGAGAGCAGCTTGAAAAATCAAATGATTTAATTTATTCAGAATCGGACCTGTTGTTCCCCAACCCTACAGCATAGTTTCCATTCAAGATAGAGCTTAGTAAGAGTTTCTTGACAGCGCCAAAAATGGAATCTTAAAATAGTGCAATTTTCCCCGACACTGGTGCGTGCATACAAAAGGGGCACTGCTGTTTCATGACTTGTTCTACAAGGTTTCTGCATTTGTATAAATTATGTATAACCTATGAGTGGAAACTAAATTTCAGACATCGTTATAAACATCTGCAGGTCATCACTACTTCAAAGCAGTCCAGGGCATTCATCAGAGAACGTTGTCAATGGAGTATTGGGAGAAACGACCCCATCTACCAGTGAATATGGATCAAGTATGAAGGTTGGTACTTGTATTGCCAGTGGAAGGCTCTCGAATCTTACTTTTATGGTTATATTATTATATATAAATTTTTTCACACGAAGAATGCACCATATATGAATCAAGGTTTTCTGATAAACTTGATTTGACTATAATAGTTTTACGTCTCATAATGCTAAGACATTCTCTTTTTGCCATAACCATGTACATCTCAACAAAATTTTCCTTGACACTAAGTTTTGCTTTCTTTATTCAATCTATATACCATTTATGCAATGTCTTATAAAACCTGCAGCTGTGAGTTTCTCGAGCACAAAAGTGGCTAACCCAAATATATATATATATATATATATATATATATATATATATGCAGGGAATGCAGCAGAAAGGGGCTGAGAAATTTCCCGATGGTTTTGTGCAGTGGGTAAACTATGGACATGTGCTTTCCCGTTGAAGGTTTGTTCAATTTCCTCAAATCGATGGGTCCATCTAGTCAAGCTGGCTCAATGACGGAAGCCGTTGAGGCAACAGGAGAAGCGGAACCACTTGTACTGACACTCTTATGTAAGATAACCTCGCCCGCAATCCAATCCCCCCATGTACTAGTACAGCAGTCATCCCAAAAAAAAAAACCCTCAAACCAGAAACTAATACTCCAAGAAACAGAGTAAATAAGTCAACACTTAAACACAGGATTCTTTTGGAGCCATCATCCATCTCTCTTTAATTCCTAGGGGCTTTTCAGTTTCGGTTGGTCGATCTTGTAAATATGTATTTTTCTTCTGCTCTTTTGAAGAGCTCCGTTTCCGAGTTTTCGGGTCTTTGATTCTTTATTTCCTTTTCATGTTCATCCATGGCCAGATGATAGATGGAAATGAAACCGACGTTGCATTTGAGGGGTGGGGGTGGGGGAAAGAATCAGTTTATAGGACTGATGCTGTCTTTATGGCAAGCTGCCAAGTTCTAGAGCTGTAAACTTCTTTTCAGCTTCCTGGTGTTTATTTTCATAAAGAATATTATATTATGTTAACTTTTTTAGTATAATTATTGTTTTGAAAAACAATGGTTGCAGTCTTGCAGGTATTTCTAGGGAATACATGAATTAAACTAGTCTAGATTGAAACACATGAATTAAACTAGTCTAGATTGAAACACACGACCAATTCCTCTTAACCAATAAATTTATACTTCTTTTTTCCCCTTTTCAAGGGTAGCGGATGAAATTATGCAAGTTTTAACCGTGGATTTATGTTAATTAAGACCAAGTCTTGAATGGAAGGTGAAGTTTTTACCGGTATACCGATGATTTGGCTGACCTAAAATTGCGGACGAGTACATTCGACATTTCAAATAGTTTTTGACTGCTCAACTTTTATAATGGATTTTGATATACTGACTTGATATAAATATAATGCATTTTGTTTTAGAATGTTTTTTTTAATAATAATGATAATAACGGTAATAATAATAATAAAACCTTTTTTTTTAGAAAAAGGAAATTCATTTATTCTAAACCAACATCGTCCAGTACAACAATGTTTGAAATACATAGTGGATCATCACTAACAAACCGAAAAAGAGAGTTGCAGGAAACAACCCATTTTGCTAGTTCATGAGCCACACGGTTTGCTGCTCTTGGCATATACATCACCGTGAGATTATAGCTCGTGTCTCGGAGAGAAGAAGACTGCCAACCGATAGATCAGGATACTTGGATCACAATCTATATCACAGCGTACGAGTCTTCTTCGATGTCCACCCGAATCCATCCATTTTCCTTTGCCAATTCAATCCCCACACGAAAAGCTTCAGCCTTCAAGATCTCGGCCGTGAGCGTACCAATCGGCTTCCGGGCATGGCCTCCCACATTCATTCCATTAAGATCCCTTGCTATAACTTCGATCGCCCCTTGCCCTGTGCCATTAAAGAAAGCACCATCAACGTTGAGTTTAAATCTATCAACCTTTGGTTTCTGCCATTGCTTTCCTCTATCCCGCGGTGGAGTGATCCAGGTCCTATTGCCATTATTTATTGCTGTAGTAAAGTCTGATCCTAAAAGCCATGCTGATTCGATGACCATCCTCGCTGGTTGGAGAATGTCAGAGTATAGCATGTTTAGCTTTCCACCATCCTTCAAATGAATAGGCGGGTTTATACATACATGTACATATACACACACACATTTTGCAGTTTATAACTATTATTATATTTTACACGTATTTATACCTTTTTTTATATAATTTACATCTATTATTTTCTATGTTAAATATAATTTTATATTAATAATAAATAATAAAAGGGAATCTATGGGAAAGTCTTCCAACTATAAGGGAAGCACATTTCCAATGATTGTTCATATAAAAGGTATCATTTTTATTCGAATGATATTTAAAGAAATTTTAATGTGATATTAACCTATTTTTAATATTAAGTAAGAATCAATGCAATGTCTTTTGTGTGGGGAATCCATTGTAAATTCTATCAACTATAAAAGAAGCGCATTTTTTAGGATTGTTCATCCAAATAGACAACTTTTTTTTGAATAAAGGAGTTCATTAGATTCCAATGGCGTCATTAATTATATCAATTCTAATACAATCAAGCTCATCACAGTAAAACCAGTTTGCCTCACAATTAATGTAAAACTCTTTTAGCTCATGGTTGGGGCAAGGAGCCCTCATGCTTCGTTGAGTAACAATCAGGTTGTGGAAACATCTTTGTTTCCATTGGCTAGCCTGTTAACAATTGAGATCGCGTCGCCTTCAATGATCGCGTTGTTCCAACCATTCTCAATTGCAAACTTGATCCCTTATGTGAATGCTTCAACTTCAATAGACTACGCAGTGAACGAGAAAGGAATTTGCCGACACATCCCACCAACCACCATTCCATTATTATTTTTTACAACAATTTTGATGGATGCAACATTGCTAGAGGTATTGCAAGCCCCATTCACATTGATATTTATAATAGAATTTAGTGGTTTAGTCCACGTTCGAGAGAGAAAAGAGGTCACCTAAGGGTGTGTCCAACCGTCTTTAACCTCAAAAACTCAGAACAGAGGTTCCAAGCTATAATGACTACATTTTTGCCTTTTTGAGTCTCTCCATCATGAAGAAACTTGTTCTGCATGTTCCATATATTCCATAAAAGCACAATCAATCTTTTGATCCCTATGTGATAAGCACAATCAATCTTGTGATCCCGATGTGATCCAATTGAGATACATACCAATCCAATCATGCTTTACAAAAGGCTTCATGCCACTCGATGATGTCTGTATTGAGGCCAAAAAGCTATAGAATGGTCATTGTTTTTGGGCAATCCTTAAGGGCGTGAAGCAACATTTTCATAATGTCCTCAAAGAAGAGACAAGCTCCCTCGAAAGGCGTGTATTCTTAAGTTTTTCTCATGTCAAAACGACATTGTGTCAAATCCTCCACCCAAAGATCTTTATTTTTAGTAGAACGAGAAGCTTGGTGAGGGTCTTCCAAATTCTTTCATTATCCCTCTCAAAATCTTTTTTTCAAAGAAGTGACCAATTATAGCTCGATTTAACTGAGAAACAACCCGAAGTAGATGACTCCATATTAGCTTGTCAGATTTGTAATAAGCAATAAGGGTCCCCAGAACCTTGTCCACATCTTCAATTGAAAGAACTCGTCTTGTCTTTCTTTTATCCCATCTTGACACCCTTGAAAGCATAAAATCTGAGCATTTGATAGGGTTGTTAACATTGTCAAGTAGGAGTTTGTCTAGCAAACCAGGAGGAGTCCCCCCAAGTGTCATGTAAGGCCCTGAATCTCAGGTTAGTAGTTTGGGTCAACCTGAGACTCATATATTGAGCCAAATGACCCATTAGAATAGTTTGGACCTATTTAAAAAGAGAGTGGCCTTGAGTTAGGCCCAAGGGTTAGGATGATTTTAAGTTGAAACTAAAAGCATAGGGACTAAAAGTGTAGTTTACCCATGGTTTATATTAAAAGTTGAAACCCCCTATTTCTATATGGTTAACGTGAACCACTCCCCCTTATTTTCTCACCAAAAACTTTTTTTCTTCCTTCCATCTTTTTTTCTTCTTATTCCTTTCCAAGTTGAGATTATAGGAGTTTCAAGTGTAAGTCTGGGTAACCAAGGTAAGATTATTAATCTCTACTCTTAAAGCTTCAATTCAAATCCTATTTCTCAAGTTTTTCACTTAGTTTCCAAAAATGGGTTTTTGAGAGGTTCAAAAGAATAGATGGATTTGGCTTGTTCTATTAGATTCAAGTTATAGGAAACGTTTTTATCATTAACCCAACCACTTAGTTGAGTTAGTACACCTTTTCTTACCTTTGATTAGTGAAAGAAGTGGGAGAAAGTTAAAAAACAAGGAGAAAAGAGAAAGTTGTCTCTTGAGTGATTTGAGGGCATTTTAGCAACCAAGAATCAAGGTAACACAATCACAACTTCTTCATATCACTTATAAGTCATTAGAGATGCATTATAGCTTAAAGATGAGTTATGGAGCATTCATGGTAGGTTATACATTTTGTGGTTTTAGCATGCTTAAAGCATTCTTTATTATTCCTGATATCAAATAAGACATTTAAACACTAATGGGGGACCACGTTAGGACATTTTGGGTAGTTAGTTGGGTGTTTTTGTTCCAAAACAGGACCCTTTGTAGCGATGGTATCGATATTGTACGAATAATATCGATATTGTTCATCTTTCAGGCAAAAACTAGGCTATTTTTAAAGAGGTAGTATCGATACTCATTACCCAAATTTGGGGTATTTTTCAAAACATCGAACCTAAATTTGGTATCGATACTCAGGCAAGTATCGATACCCCAACACTAGAGTATCAATATTATACCTAGAGTATCGATACAACCTTACCCAACTAGTCTGGGGGTATTGATACCAGCAGGTGGGTATCGATATCAAAGGTTTAGTATCGATACTAAATCGATACCCACAAAAATTTTTGGATAATTAATCCAATGATTAAGAGATCAGACTCAGGGTACCCATATACTCATATGTATAACAAATAAGTCTCCAAGTGATAACAATAATTTATATCATAATGATAACAACAATAACTACTAGGATTATATAAAACTAGCCTTAATTGTACACTCGAGAAACGATCAGGACACCTATGTTACTTTAGAAATGATACTAGTATTGATCAATAGAATCAGTCCGAAATCCTTAGGTAGTGCTCGAGGAACTTTAAACTGACTAACTAGGGTCGAGGCTCGACACTAGCGAGGGGTGGGTTAGTCGAGGGTGTTGTGTCCGTTGTAGAGATTCCGGGCCTCATCCTCGATAGACTAGAGGGGTGCTTGAGCTCCGAGATGCAGAACATTCAGTTGCACCGCGATGTCTACCATAGAGTAGAGAGTACAACATACGAGTATACTCACTGTTGCATTTTTACCAGTTAGCTTGAGCATTTGATGAACACTTTTAGTATGAATTAGTTGTTGATGTGACATTGGGCTAGTTAGCTCAACGTTTGGAATTTGTTTCCTTACGCAGGTTAGTAGAGGAGCAGTCAAGGAAGCCTTAGAGCAGCGAGATCTATACCAAGTGCAATAGAGTACAAATCTAGTTCTTCTTTAGAGGGCATGTATATTTGTAGACCCCCGTTTTGTATATTTGAGTCGTAA